CAAAATGAGGTATTTTTCAACTGATTATCGCTAAAGCTTACGTAGTGGTCAATTGGTGTTTGCATGAAGTGCCTCTTTTTCTCCCGAGTGGGGGACAAGAGATACTTTCAGGAAGCTCAAAAAGACTAAGAACTAATAAAAGTACGCCAAGGTTGAAAACTGTCTCAGTTAAAACTGACACAGTTAAAAATTCTTGAAAGAAGCAAACTCAGTTCGAACATTTGGAGTGCGTATAAGCGTCCGGAGATATCGTTTACAATGAGTATGTGATTTTCACGTTTCGAGAATATTGAAGAGATTGAAATACTGTTTTCATATCTTAAGATTTGAAAATAGTATTTCAATCTCTTCAATATTCTCGAAACATGAAAATCACATACTCATTGTAAACGATATCTCCCGACACTTATAAGCACTCCAAATGTTCCAATTGTGTTTCCTTCTTTCAAGAATTTTTAACTATAACAGTCTTTAACTGTACCAGTTTTAATTGAGACAATTTTTAACCCTGACAGTTTTAACTGTACCAGTTTTACAGTTACGGTTAACTGAGTTTTAACTGAAACTAGTGCATACCTGCTCAGTTGAAAGCAAATCTTTCGCACTATCATACCAGACACGCGAACTGCATATAAAATTTCATTGATGATATTTTATGAAAAATATTAAAAAAAAACATCTTGAAAAGCCTAGTTCTTGATGAAAAATCTTTAAAACGTGTCCAAAATGGTTTTTGCCTAGAAGTCTAAAATCAGTTTCCGACAGATCTCATTTTGCGCTATATATCTTGAAGGTTTGAAGCCTAGATCGCAATCACTCAGGGAGAAAAGTGGTCAAACATTTTGTGTGAAAAACCTAAATTTCTCCTAAATAATTTAATATTTTTTGATAAAAACTTCTAGGTAGATAGTTCCCATAAAGATATATCTTCTCTGAAAATGTTGCTGAAAAGTAATGCATTATTCGGGAGAAAGGTGGACTTTATTGATTTTCGATCAAGCTCGACGTCTACAAAGCGACACCTATATCTCGAAAAGAAAACATTTTTAGAGTGGTATCTTTTGGCTGTAAGCCAGTTTGCATTAGTTCTATCCATAGGTGTCGGAATAAATTACAGGCAATTACAGGCAAAATTTGGTCCTAGCAAATGGCTGTATCGCTTAAATCACGGTAGCTGGCGATCTCGGACTTACGTGAACTTCAGAATTCTGAGTAAATTAGTACATTCTCTCAAAACTTCAGGTCAACGTGAAAGAAGGCAATTTTTGTAAGTGTTTATTTAATTTATATAAATTATTTTAACGGTGTTCATTCAATTTTCTACATTCCCGTCATTATTATTAGAGTCGAATATTTATTCGATTCTCAAAAGGACCCGTTAGAAGAAGAAAAAAACCTGAAAGAATGGTATCATCCGGAAATCGCCGTCGCCACGGATTCTTATATGTTAAAGTGTTAAAGTGTAAACGTGCATAATTGAGGGTGAAGAAGTGGCGATGAGGGTGGAGCACTTCTTCACCCACTTCGCTCTCACTTCTCCACCCTCACCCTCACTCGCCGCGAGTTCGTATAAGTTAAAGTGTAAACAATTCACGTCAATATTGTACAAGTTATAAATATAGAATAGGAAAAAAAGAAAAATTCAAGTGCATGTACATCAGTATATATCGCATGGCAAAATTTAAGCCTGATTTATTTGATTCTCAACTTAAAAGTTGTTGTATAAAAAAATGTCTTACATCCACTCATTAGTTCAGGATCTAAAGGAAAGAACTGTAAACTTAGTTTTAGATATCAGCTTTTCAAGTTTAAATCCAAATCATTTCGCCTATCCAGGCTAATTTTTTTGACCTGGCAGTATTACAAGAATTAAACATTTGAAGTTGTAGCATAATTAGAATCAAAAGCAAAACTTAGGGGAGAACATTTCTTTGCAATTTGTCCCGACCCGGTGTTAGGTAGTAAAACTATCTTGATTGATTTTCTATATTGTTCACTTTATTTAGTAACAAATTACTATCTTCTCTCATTCACAAAAAAATACAGCTATATATACATATCTCCGAACATCCGAGAAAGGATCAGAAAAGGATCTAATGATGTCAGAAGAACTGGCCAGAACATGACATCATTAGGTCATGACGTACAAAGAAGAATACGAAAGAATATGTCCTTTACTACGGACCGGACTAATGACGTCGGCAGAGAGGACATAACATGACGTCAGAAGAATAGAAAAGAACATGATGACAGTAAAAAACATAAGGAAGAAGAAATGTGACTAAAACATATGATCTCTTTAGATCATATGTACGCGTAACGTGGAAGCACACAAATATGTACAGTCAAAAACATACTACTTAACACCTCCTAACTCCCGTACACCCGAGCCCGTGAGATTTTTTCTTGCCCGAGCCCATGAACTCAAGCCCGTAAATTTTTGTTTACTCGATCCTGTCTGTCCCACGGGACGGAAGAGAACATTACTTGACAAAGCTAGATTATTATATAAAGAAAATCTGGAAAGTGTTAAAGTGCAGAATGCGTCAACATTGAGAAAAATTAAAGTGATTCGTTCGTCGAAAACCAAAACCGCTCAGACGCTGTCTCAAAGGAGGACTTTAATGCAACGGACACGAATCAGTTTCAGGCCAATAAGTTTTTTGTATGCTCTTTCTAATAGCTAAAAAACTGGAAAATTTTTTTGTCCCCAACCAACTTGGGTAGTGAATTCACGAAGTATCTCTTAAATATTTATGCTGTTCATAGTCTTGGTGATATACTTGGTTAAAAAGCGCTATGTCTACTGATGAAGGAAAAAACTAAGCTCTTTATATAGCTAATCCATCCCTCAAACAAACGATAAAACAAGATTTCCAGGTGGTAACTGCAGCCGACCAAACCTGGTCGATGGTTATTTCGTATTCGTCTATCTTATACATAGCTGTTCTATTTTGACACTGAATAGTGCATAGTTTATACTGCATTCAGATTTATTTATGGTGGGATACAAGATTAATGTTCTTTTCATTTTTTTCAAATTATTCGTCCTTATCTTCTTTTGTATCGAGAGAACATCAAGTTATATGTATTTTTTGTATAACGATTATTAAGGAATATTTTTCTCTTTTTTTCCTTTGCAACGTGACGTTTGCAGAGACAAATTTTAAGATACGCATGGATAACCGTTGATAAAATATGTCTGTTATTTGCTCATCCTTTTATCATGGATCAACATTAACGTCAGAAATGATAATCGACTCATTATTGGCTACAAGATCACAATTACACCATACATAATCAAAATATAAAATTCTATTTGTAAAGAACAACTATTCTCTTCTCTTCGGTTCGTTATCACTACTTCAAATTCTCCGTTCACTTTTCTCTCATTCATCATGAACTCTGACTCTCGATACGGTTGACTACTTCTACTCATATTTACATACGTACAGGTAATTAATGTCAGTCACGGCAATGCTGAGTATTGTGCATTTTAGATCTTATCTGTTTTTCTTGGACACACAATATGTCTGCCGCCACAGCTGTGCGTACCGCCAGTCGAGTCGCTCTTATAACTGGAGCCGGACGAGGAATCGGTCGTGCCATCGCTCTTCGCCTAGCAGATGATGGTCTTAACGTCGCCCTGAACGACCTACCGTCTCTCTCCTCTGAACTAAACCAAGTCAAAGCCGACGTCGAATCTCGAGGTGTCAAATGCACGCTCGCCACCGCTGATGTTTCGCAACAAAAGGAAGTCTACGAAATGGTTGAAAGAACCGTTGCACATCTGGGACAGCTGGATGTTATGGTTGCGAATGCGGGAATAGCGAGAATTGGTCCATTGCTTCAAACCAGTATGAAGGAGTTTGATGCAGTCATGAATGTTAATGTGAAGGGGGTGTTTTTGTGTTATCAAGAGGCTGCGAAACAGGTAACGTGCCGCTAATTCAAAAATACACAGAAATTTTATAAAATTATCCGTTTAATTATCTCTATATTCAGGTTTTTTAAAAATCACTATTATTCAGAAATGATCAATTCAAAAATACAATAAAAATAGTTTTTAGCGATAAACTTGCTACAAAGTGAGATTTGCTCGAGTTTTCTAGGTTAATTTGCCATTAAGATATCTAATATTTTACGATTCAGCAGCGATTGGCTTCGATAAACCGCTGCTCTGGCGTGCCACTAAGCCGTAAAATTTCTCTTTATTTAGTGTCATTAGAAAATTAGGTACTTTTGCCGCGCTGCACCAAATTAAGTAAAAATTGGGCGCTATGTGCAAAATTTTTCAGTGAATCCGACAGCGGGTTCCTTATAATTCTACTTTCACTTCTTTTCTGGTGTCGCGGAGAACTTACAAAGATTTCAGAGCTGTTTGTATTGAATTGTACACTAGCTTTTACCTTTAAGAGGGCTTTCTAAATGAAATTTGGTCAGAATTTATAACTTTTTGAAAGAAAAACTTGCACATTTTGCGAAAAATATGCTCATTAATAAACCCGAACTCTGTTTAGCATCCCACTTGTCCTGGAAATAACAGATATAGGTTTTCGTACTCAACTTTGCATGCTGAATCGAGAAAAGTTAATTTGGAAACTTCGAAAGAAAGAGGAAGGACACGAAATTTGGCTTATTCTAAAATTCTGTCATTTTTGAGTAGTTTGAATGATTTTTCATTTTTAAATTTTCTTAAAAGCTATAAACAACATTTATATATGTCACTTGATGCGCTCTATCAAACCATATGCAAATAAACCACAAATAACATTTTGTTGTATTTATGAACTAGCGGCACCTTAAGAGCATTTTCCTATCGCAATGTATTTTGATCTCTGCTTAACTAGATGATCAAGCAAGGTACAGGAGGCAAAATTATTGGGGCAGCCAGCATCGTTGCCTATCGACCGTTTCCACTTCTTAGTCCTTACTCCGCATCTAAATGGGCGGTACGCGGTCTCACTCAAGGTGCCGCCATGGAATGGGCAAAATACGGCATCACCGTCAATTCTTACTGCCCAGGAATTGTTGATACGGCCATGTGGGAAAAGGTTGATAGAGAGCTTGCTCCAGAGCTTGGTATGAAACAAGGTGAGGTCATCAAAAAGTACGTTCATGATCTGACCGCTCTTGGGAGAACCAGCCAGCCTGAAGATGTGGCAAAATTTGTAAGCTATCTCGCGAGCATCGATTCAGACTTCATGACTGGACAGAGCGTCATAATCGATGGTGGTATCCAGTTTTCTTAATCGACTGATATGATCTTTGATCATCCTGATTAGAAGACTTGAAACCTTCCATCATATCGACTTTAATTCATCTGACTTATGATACAAAGGTTAAATTTCGGAATCGTTATTTAAGACTCTCGCTGTCAACGTTCGTTCAGTTTTCGCCACAGTCAGTAACAATTTTAAACTGTATTCAAGCAGATAGAACAATGTATAACAAGAACGCAATTGATAAAATACCCACGATACAGTTCAAATGATGAACCATCCGTGATCGATGTTATTTCATCATCCTTTGATGCAGAATAACTGTAGCCAATGATGAAAGTTATGCCAGTTCCATGATTTTAGCAGCCTCATTTTGTTTATTTATTTATTAAAATAAAATAATGTAGACGTTTTGAATCTACCAATTTATTATCGGCATAAATTCAGACTACAAATTAATGTGAAGACGAAAATACAAACTTCTACTTTGCTTTACAATGTATGTATATGTGACAGGGAATGTATACATTCCAGAGCTCCGTATGGACTGGACTGAACTGGGTCCATAGTCCAGTCTAGTCCAGTCTGCATGGACTAGACTGACGAGGGAACATATCCAACTGTCAAATCGCTTTTCCAACGAAATGCGGTAGCTTATAGGTAATCGATCATGCTGATTCCGAATATGATAGCCGTTTTGGCTAATAGACCTTTCCTAATCGGTTTCTGGAAAACCAGTTT